CAACTTAATATTCAGAAAGTTTGCTGAAATATCAGCTGTATCTTAGAACGCGGTTAGGTTAGTTACGTTTAGAGAGCCTCGTAGGTAGTAACTTGTTATTATTCATTTTTAGTTTCTTATTTTTTATATTACCGCCGGGTCGGCGTAGTTTGTGAGCGTCAAGTGCACGCATCTGTAACTTCTAAAGTAGAATAAAAAGAGAGTTAAACTCTTCTTAAGAGTTTTGTGTATTTTCCAGTTCATAGCAGTCACTACTATTGTTGCTTGTAGGTCGGGGCCGCGCAACACCACACATTGATTAAAAATCTGAATCAGTTTTTGTTTGCGTTGCTATGGTTTTGTGCCTCCGCAGAAGAATATTGTTTTTCTAGCCTTATTTCCATTCTAAAACATTAACATAAAATAATTAAATTCCGTTTTTTGCTATGATCTCAGCTATAATTAGAAACTGAATTTCTTAGTCTCATTCTTAAGTGTAAAATGCAAGTGATGTCCCATTAATTGCTTGCTTCGTGATTCTGCTTTTACAAAGGTATTCGTATTATCAATCTTTTGAAAAACCACTTCATATCGGCGCAAAGTACTCACTTTTTATATAGTCATAGAAGCATTACTTCTTTTTTCTGTCCTATGAAGTTTAGAAAACAATTCAATTTCTGAATGTTCAAATGGACAGAAGGCAGTTTCCCTTAAAAAGTTCTCCAAAACATTTTCTCTACCTTTAGGCAGATAATTCTCGTGTGCTTTGATATCATCTGAGTAACCTAATCTACCTTTTTATACTATTAAATATACTGATTTTTATACTATTAAATATACTTATGATATCAAACTGTTCAAATTTAAAACCTAAAATCAGTTATTCAACTTACATATGTTGGTGCTGTTATTTCAATGACAGCAACGGCTAAGTCAAATTTTTTATTAATTCAAAAACATACGAAGGTATCTGATTAAGCAGAAGCAATTTCGAGGAAGACTTTTTAAGGAAAACTGCTTTGTAATCACATTCCACATGAAACTGAGCTTCAAACCCATGTAATCAGACCATCCAATAGCGGAGGAATAAAGCTTAAACAAACTACTAATGATCATTTTCCCTCTCCCATCGACTACAGTAAGCCTGATTGGTACAAATATCTGTACAGAAGAGAATGTAAACCTTAACCTTATAAGGTGTTTGCTCCTTTATTTCTGCATGCCTTAGTGGTGTAACTGTAGCGCACTTGGAGTGTATTCAAGAGGTCCAAGTTTCGGCAAGGGCATTGCATAATTTTCATGTACCCTGCTTCAAAATAACCTAATGGCTCTGCAACATTACTATAATAAATAGAAGTGCAATATTGCTGATCAGGACTTTAATTTCTAATTACTAATTTTGAATAACATCAGCATACATTTAAACAAAATAGGTGAAAAATCTGAGCTTCGAGAGGACTCGAACTTAAAGCCTTTCATCTTTACGTCGCTATCATATCTCCTGAACGAACATGAATATGATAAATGTTTTCCTTTCTTCTCCTTTTTCTCACTGGTGGGATACATGCGGCCAAGTTCAAATCCTGAATGTAATCACGCCTACCACCCAATGATTTTATTTTCCAGTCAGTCATCATTATAAGTCTGAGCTTTGACTTAAAGAAACGATACCATTTCTCTTCTCTGTACGCTCGGGATCTTATCATGTAAGGATTTATTTTATTCTAACCAATTATTTTTAGTGTTCTTTCCTTTCTCTCCTGGTTTCAGTTTCCTGCCGGAATGTAAAGTTGTATGACGCAGTACTTAAATTAAAACGTGTTTCAGAAGCATTATTTAAGCCGTGTTTCAAGAGTTCAAAGAGAGTAGTAGAAGACTTAGTTCCGAGTTTATGCTGCGTGCTTGAATTTAGCTCTCTTAGCCGGTGTTAGACACTTTTCAGTTTGCACCGGTATTCCTCGGCTCGGCTTTGCTGTGTGCAGCCGATATAGCGTTAAGCTAAAGAGCCAGTCTTTAGCTATCTTAATTTACTAGTTATTTGTTACATTCTTATTTTCTGTTAATTTACGTAGCCACAAGTGGTGATGATTTGTGAGCACGAAACGCGTGCCTCTCTTTTTAGTTTAAATAAAAAGGTTATTTAAACCTTTCTTCTGCAGTCTTTATTCTTCAAGACATATCGAGAATTCGCTACTTCATCTTCTATATAGAGTCCAAGCTGTATGCTATCAAAGAATACCCGTAGGCTCTATAACCAAAACTAATTAATATCTTACTCCGTATAATTTACGTCATCATTTAGAATCTGAGTAATTTCTCTCTGCATTTGAGCTTGAATTGATTTGACCTAGACTCTGCTTGACATAGATTTCAAGCAGTTTCACAAATTTATAATTTCTTAATCTTGATAACCTATATATGAAAACAAAATAGAAAAATCAAAATGATAAAAGAGCTGCCTCCCATTAAAATTTTTAAACAATATTTTAATAAAAAATTTGCCATATGCAAAGAATTCTAAAGTTAGATCCTGAATCATTACCTCTGAATTGCCTCCCTTCTAAAAATAAAGAAACCGTAAACCCGGTTTAAGTTGTAGAGGAAAAAAAAATCGAAGTTTTAAAAAGTTTCCCTGTGAACAATCCAAGCCCATTTCCGTCGTCACATTCCGTTATTGTCTTCCACAAAAGAATAAAAACTACTTCATAAAACAACGTCTTTCTGAGGCAGCAGAACATGTTATTTTGGGAGAAAATGTTCGAAAACATAATTTTCAGAAATTTTATTTTGTGAGGAATAAATCAAAACGGTTATGGGTTCTCTTCAAATATCCTCCCATGTTCAAAAAGAAAGTGATTTATTTTCGTTTAGCAGAGGACTTCATAAAAATAAAGTAAAATAAGACAGTTGCAGTATAAGATACGAAGAGGAAGGGAACTGAAGTAATGATTTTTGATTTCTTTCAAAGTTTTATTGACGGCAGGGAAAGAAGTTTCTAGTACTTGGCTCAAGGAATATTTTTCTGGGCTACATCTTCAGATTCGAAGACTGCTTTGCTCAAGGGTAAACTGATGCCGTACACTATATTATTCGAAAAAGAAACAATTTTGAAAGTTATTTCATCATATAGATAAATAAACCTGTGATAATCTTATCTTCGCCTCATTTTCAAATTCTTTTTTCTTATAAATAACAGCTGAAACTATTTTAATTAATTATAATTAGAAGCTCTAAAGAGTTCCAATAATTTTTTTTTATCTATTGTTGTCCGCAATTAGAAGAAAAACTTTAAATTTCGTAGTTACTAAATAAATTTTTAAAAAAATGTTATTTTCAAAGGTAGGCTTTTAAAAATAAAATAAATATGAAAAACACAGCAGGTTAGGTTATTTAGTAGTAATGCTACGAGGATTATGTACCTAAGAAGAAAAATGCCTCCGTGGGGACTTTCTAAGGTTTATTTTTTTGGGGGGAAAGAGGATTTGATTATGGAAAAGCACTTGAGGGCTATCTATTTAAGGGGATGGATGTCTTCGGGGAGGACTTTCTAAGGAAAACTGGCTATTATATACGTCACACATGAGAAAAACCATGAAAATACCCATGCAGGCAGCCCGTTCGCCGGGATTCGAAACCCGGACCAGGGTTTGGAAATTCACTATATTCAACGGTCTTAACTACTCGGCCGATAGTGGAGCCAAAAAAGTATTATTGCAAAATGAAATTTTAAAGCTAGTTATGAACTTAAAATTTCTATCAGTTACGATTTTAGAAAAAAATTACTATCCTTTGGAAATCATCCAAAGCCTAAATAAACTCACGTCTTCACCAAATAAAACTATGTGAACTATTACGTCAAATTTTCAATTAATTGCACACCTTTTTAGGAACGATGCTCATTTTCCGAATCTTTAGGCTTTATGCATGCCACATAACAACTTTGTTTTTTCACAATTTTCAGTGCAAGTAATGATACTATAAATTTGTGTAAATAGTTCCATATATTTGCTTAATATGTACTTATATATGTACCTATTTTACCATGTTTTAATATAAGAAATGTATATACATAACTTATTTTAATTTTTAGTAGCTACTGTAAACAAGAGGCAATAAATTTAGTGAAATTTTTTAAATACCTCAAAATTTTAAGACGTTTCCAAAGCAACAAAATTTTTTATTTTATACTCCAAGCAGCACAAGAGATCGGAACACAAAGATTTCTGGAGGAAGTCTGGATCTTCTCGCTTTCCTGGTATCAGTTGGTACTTGGACATTCACTGTTCAGTTTTCTTACAACTGAGTAAAAGCGTCTGCATCTTTTAAGAGCAAATTTAGATCTAATTCAATCGAAATTTGATTGATTTCCAACCTATTTACTAATATATTGCTATCTAAGCTTCTAATATGCTGTCTGAGTTCGTAGGAGAAGTTATATAATATGTTCTCGATTTCTAAAGAACTTTCTAGTGATAACTTCAAAAACAATTAAATTATGTGATAATATTGAATACTTATCGTACCACGCATATCGGTTCGAAATTTCAAAATGATCAATTTCTCCATACTTTCCAATTATTTATTCAAAAAGCCATACAAAATGTCAAAAAACAAATTTCCAGAATAGTAGTTTTTGCTTAGTTCCAGTTTACCTTAACTCACTTCCACTAATGTTTAATGTTTTTTTCTCACTAATGTTTAGTAAAAGATAAGTAAATTTTTCAGCTTTACTGTATCATTTTCTTTTGTCCCCCTGAACTTAACAGTTTAAATTTATTTACAGCAGTGAAAACTGGATTTCATTTAAAAAAAAGATGAGAACCAAGATCTTTTGCATTTTCCAAAGCCCCAACTCCCTTTTCACATTGTAAATGGTAGCAGTAACTAGGTTTTGAATTCTTTGAAATCAAGAACAAGCCAAATTTTAAATTGTGATATACTATTTCAAATTATGATATAACGTGTACGTAGAGTAGCAGAAAGAAAATTGCAGTTCCAACTTTATTGGTTCTCTAACTTACCAGTGAATTAAGACATTTCCACCAGTCGTCCTGGCATGGTGAATAAAATCGTTGCATTTCGGAAAGTATCTGCTGAGATTTTCTTCTGGAGAATCAGGTACTCGAATGCATAGATACTGTTTATCCTGAAAAATAGAATCACGAATCCATAGATTTCTGATGTAATTTTAATTTTATAAAACTCATTGTTAGAAAATATTTAGTAATACATTGATATTTAGTAAAACATCTCTTTATTTCAATTTAAGTCGAATGTGTTCATTATCTGCAGTTTTAGTTTTTATTACTTAATTTTATTACTTATTTTAAATTTTTCGATATTAATATTTTTCATTTTTTGTATGATTACTAAGTAAATATAAAGCAATTCTCCTTAAAATGCTTTCATGGAGACCCTACCCGCTTAATCACTTAACATTAAAGGTAAATAAATGTAACTGATCATCTATTATTCTATGCGAAAGGAAACATATGTATTTAGTTTTTTATCTGAGAACTCGATACAGGTTAAATAATTTTTTTGATGAATGCTTTCATTGTACAGAGCCAACTGTACGTGACCTGCTTTTAAGCAGGCCCGTTTTTCTCTTCTAATATACATTTCAAAGAGAAGAAAGAGGAAAGAAAGAATACAAAACAGTTTCACACGTGAAGTCATCTAATATTCGAATATTTCAACCTATATTTACAAAGGTTCCGCTTGGTTAGGAGTAAATCATTTCTACTAAAGAGAAACATGTACCGGTTTGCCCGCGAAATCGTTAGAATTTCAAGTTTTGCCTAAATTTAAATACTTCTGCGTTTTTATGTATGATTCAAACACATATTACTTTCATTTCGTGTACTGATAATTGGTGCTACATAAACAAGAATTCTTGTAAAACAACTGAAAATTTTTCTTTTCCGAAACAGATACTTTATGCTAATTTGGAAGCCATTTTAAAGAACTACAGTAACTTTCCTGGAGCATTATAATTCGGCTTTTATGAAGTAGGAAAGTGCTTCGAAATGAAAATCGCTGATTCTTTGTGCACTTAAAATCAAAAGCACTATACAAAACATTCATTAAATATTCTAGCAGTAAATACCTTATTTTCAAACAAAAACACAAATTCCAACCATAATTAAGATTATGAGTAAAGAATTTTTCATATTTTTTATTTTGTCTCATGAAATCATATTTTAATTAACTAAACAAGGAGAGATAAACAGAAGGTAATTTTTTTAATGCTTAATAAGACTTAATTTCCTTTTTTTTTTCTAAATTCAGAGTTATGTTATAAAAATAATCAAGTTTATCCTTCTTTTAGTATGATAGATATCAGTATTTATTAAAAGAGTGCCTGGTATCTTTTTGTAAAATGTAACCTAATATGCTTTCATAGCTCATGATTTCTAAAATTTAATTAAAATTTAAATGATCTCAACTAAGCATTGCTACTGTTTTAATTGTTAAAAAATTAATTAGTATTTATTAATTAAATCCTTACCTCCACAATTTCTTTTGCTGTATCATGAATCGAAATAATATGAGTGATTTCATTAGCCCGTAACTGTTCTGAATCTTTACCATCACGGAAACTACCTAAATATAATCCTGGTAAAACCTAAAATAACAGAAAAGATTTTGCAAAAACGAATATATTTTTTAGTTAAATGTTGCCATTCAATGAGAAATAAATAACCGAATAAAATAACGAATTTTCTATTTTTCGCGTGTCTGGAAAAATTTACGTGATCCAAAGAAGAAATTCTTATCATTATGTTCATTTATGTTTGAAACTCAAGTACACTGAAAAGCGGTTTTTAATATTTATGTGTAAATATTAAACTCCTATTAATGTTGAAAGCGAAGTTTAAAATTTGTTATGGAAATTTAGTCGAAAGAAAATGGCTTCTTAAAAAATATAAGAAATATATCAATGTAGAATGAAATTAACTGTTAAATATCTAAACTGGTAACTCTTAAGATACGAGAAATATCAAGATATAAAAGTATTTAGAATTTTCTTTGCTGTAAAATCTTTACTCGATTGTTGATTTGATTAGATGATAGTGAAAGAGAAGAAGGTCAAAACATCTTCGAATCATGACTTCTAATAAATTAATAGAGGCTAACTACTGATTTCGGCATCATGCTTGACCAAGAAAGGGAAATTTTGGATTTTCTTGAATTTGGGATCGAAGAGAGGCCTAGAATTTTTTACTACAATCAATTTAAATATTTTACTTTAACTAATTACTTATCAACAATTTAATGCTTTCGTAAACCTTAGAGAAATGAGTTCTTATAAAAGTGAAAATTTATGTTCCTAATTATTAAAAAAAAGAGAGTTTTTTGAGCAATTCTTGGACAAAGAATCCCTCTACTCAAAACGTGTGAACTTCTCTTTTCTACATTTTGATGTAAACAGGCTTTCTAACTCAGCGATACACTATGCGTCAATACTTACGCGTAACAATGAGCATCATAAAGGTTCTTTATTCTTGTGCGCTGGATTTTAAGCAATGGCAAAAAACTCAAAAATTCGTAAAAATACGTAAAAAATTCAATTGCAGTTAAATAGTTACAACTACATTTTCATATTAATGCACCTTTATTATGTCGAGTAGATGAATCTTTCAAGGAGAAGTTAATTCGAAAAGCCATAAAAGTTCGATTTATAAGCTATAAATTTCATAAAAAATACTTATTAAAAATTCTTTGTAATTTTAAAAAATTAGTTTTTAAAAATTTAATTTAATTTTTATTTTTAAACCTTAGTGTCCCTCTCTCTTTTTTTTTTATTTCTTGTTTTGGAGCAAATTTTTACAACGATACAAGTTACATATAACAGTCAATAATTGAAAAGTAATCTTGAAAGAATTAATCGTAACTATAACGGTGCTATTTGATTTTACTTCACTTTCCAGACTGACTAATGTGCTGACTCAGAGTACAATGCTCCGTATGTTTCTTTAAACAAGAAATTGAAATCTAATTCTTAAGAAAATTATACCGAAGAAAATAAAGCCGGCAAGCAAAGCCACACAAAAGGCAGTCTAGTGTATGTGATAAATTTTGTATCATTTAATTCACATGCAAGTTTGGGTCTAAAGTTGTTTTAAATTCTATTATCACAAAAACCGAAGAAAATTGTAAAGAATTATTCTAAAAACATTTTTTTATCTTAACTAAATAACAAAAGATAATCTTGACTGCCTGCTGGCCATGACAAGTATTTTAAATTATTGCTTCAGGTCATACATGAGCAAAAGGTAACTAAAAATAGTAATAATCAAAATAAAATACTCTATTTACGTAGGCTGAGCCTTTTTTACATTGAATAATTTAAAACATGAAGTTTGTATTTTTATTTCCCATCAAAATTGTGTAGTCGAAGAATACCAAGTTATCTGTTTTCTTCATTTTTTCCCTTTTTACTTATTTCTTTAAATTTTCAGTTTAAATTAGTTCCAATTTTTGCTCTTTCGACTTTTAGTCTTTTTAGTCGATGACTTTATGAAACACGAAATAAAACATTTCTTATATTTTAACGGAAACTAAACGTATTTTTAGGTTTCTAATTCATCATCGAAAAAGCGTACTTAACTACATTTCTCAAAACTGGTCCAAAGTCTATAAAAATTTCAAAAACTTGTAAATATCAAGCAAGTTTTATTGCGAATCGCGTTTAATAAAAATAATTCGCTGAAAGGGAGAATGTTTTGGTGAGGATAAATATTTAGTTCAAATACCTGAATATGGCAAAGCATACGATTATTATTTGTATAAACGGAGGGATATCTTCATGAAGGAATTTCTGAGGAAAACTGACCCGTATTCACATTAGGCATGAGGAAAACAGATGTCAATAAACAGAGAACGTTTTAAGCTTCCCTCAAGCTGAATGACGTCACTTCAGTTACAAAAATGAGAGAAACGAAGACAAGGTTACATTTAGTTCCCCGAGGCAGTAGTTGCTATGGAACATTTTATGATGTCCGATGCTCACAGGCTTCTGGTTGAAGTGAGCAAAACTTGTAGTAACATTGGAAAAAATCACGAAAACCAACCACGCAGCCTAGATTCGAACTCATGTTGAACTACAGTATTCAGGGGTCTTTGGTTACACGGTTATTGGTGAAGCGACACTATATCATATCAGCAGAAATGGTTACATTCATAATAATACTACAAACGATTTATTCACAAGCAATGGATCTGTTGTCAGAGCCGTAAAAATAAATTTCTCAGCCCAGAAGAAATTATTGAGTATCTCTTCTTACCATCTATTCTGTCAATGTGGTACAACGCCTTGTATCCATAAAATTTTAAATTAAATAATAATCTTTTGCTAAAAAGTTGTAATACTTGTTTGCACATACTAAACAATACCTGTTTGATCAAGTTTTACAAAATTTTAAAATTTTTCAGAAGTTTGGAGAATAATGTGTCTTTTCTTGTAGTTAATGTTCCAAAAGAAAGAGCTTTGAGCCAGAACTTTTATTACGTATTTGTAAAGGTGAAGTTATATTAGGGTATTTGAATATGGAAAAGCACACGAAGGCTACTGCCTAAAGGAAAGGATGTTTTTCTTGGAGGTTTTCCGAAAGGAAACCGTCTCTTAACTTACGTTACACATGGGGAAATGCTCGAAAACAAATCATTCCAAAACCAGGCAAACAGCCAAGCACGTTTGCCTGGTTTTGGAATACTAGTATTCAGCGGGCTTAATCCCTTGCGAAACTCGTAAAGGTCAGACTAAATTTTCAATATATATTGTTACGAATTTTGTATATGTGTAATTAATTTTGGTGAAACTGAAGTATCTCTTGTACAATGTACCATGAAAAGTCTGAAAAGAAGAAGCTCTGTTGGAAAAATAAAAATTCAAGGGCAAGGTCTATTTAACATTGAGGTAAATGGCTATCTCGCTGAATTGGTGAGAAGCTGGAAATCGTTTCGGCTACTGATTTTTGTCACCAAATGTTTCGAGAAGTCGTCAAAAGTAGCCAAACTTGACGAGCATTTTTAATACCGATAATTCAATATTAAAAAAATAATAAGAAATATAAAATTAACTTCTGAAACATTTAAGTTCTGAGAACAAAATATTGAAATTTTGTTTTGAAATCAAATGATATTAGATGTTCATTAATTTAAAGAGCGAAGCGATCAAAGCAAGTTCACTCGCAAAACGTTTTATTAAAATTTTAGTATAGGTATCGCTAATTGATATTAATATGAAATATTGATAAATAAATGATACTGCTTGGTTTTTCCTTTGCTTCGGCTGATTCGAAAGCAACAAAAAAACAAAATTTCAGTAATTCGAAAAGTACAATACAGACAGTACCACTATGCGGTTTTTACAGAAATACTTTGGATGTTTTTAGAAACAAAATATTTTATTCCCAAAAATAGCTATATTTTCACTTACATGTGGCCTGTAGGATGCTGGAGAATTGATATTTCGTACGAGACTGCGAGATCACATAAGATCATCCTCAAGGTATTCTCATAAATTTCAAAAGATTGAGAAAGTAATGCGATCTAACTTTTAAAAGTCCTGCGGATAGACGAGGCATCCTTTCGCTTGGTGGGAGTGCAAACACACACACCTGCCGCATATAGATGCGGAGAGCCCACAGGAAAACCCAACCAAAAACGGGTGTATATGTGTTATGTACCAAAAACGTATCGACCAAAAAACGACTGCGCGGTGCTAGCTCACTGTTTTATCCATTATAGAATCTTTTATTAACCTACAGCTTTAATTTATATGTAATTTTTCTGTCACAGTTAAAAGTTATGCAGCGATTTTAAGAGACAGAATCATTCCTTCCTTGCAAGAGGGGCAAGAGCTCTGTAATATAACACAGCGCTTCTTAATCTCCTTCATTCATGATCCCTTTTCTTTATCGAAAGTTTTACGTGATCCCAGATATTAAATATAAAATAGAGATATAAAAAAATATTCCCATACATTATTTATTTCTTATATAAACAATACATTATGCGAGAGGAGGAAGTTTTAGACATTGTTTCAAGTGTACAAAAATAAATGAATAAAAATCATATTCTAAGGAGACGGGCGTATATTAATATTTGACACTGCTGGACGTGAAGATCTTTAACGTTTAAAAAAATCGTTTTACAGACATATGTGGTGCTGAATGGGAGAACATTTAACACCATTTCAGAAATTTCTGGAAACCCAGTTCTAGCTCTGATCCAGAATTCTGTCAAGGATTTTAGTGGAAACTCAAATTTTAAATTTGTGTGTTTCAACAGTTCAACAAATTCCTCTTGGACTTTGCATGGCAGATAATTAATCTCATGTTAATGAAAAATGTATTTTGTAGCCAAGATAACTTTTTGAAATCAAAATTTAATACCAAGATTTGGAAAATTGTTCTAAAATTTTTAAATGATCTATAATAATTTTTTAATTAAATTTTACATTATTTTTTTCAGTTATGAAATATCTATAGTCGAAAACATTTCAAATGAATCATGTTCCTTTCTACAGAGAGCACATTTATTATTAGACGGTTTTACTTTCTATGAAAACAATCGTCTGGATTTTTTTTCCAGCTGAAACAACATTTTTGAACGCATAAA